GCAGGCACTAACGGGGGGCGGGGGCAGCAGTTTACAGGGAGGTTTGTGACCTGGCAAGCCTTCCTCTCCCTCGTTAACCTTCGAGCGAAGGCGGCCAGGAGAGGGGTTGATAATTAACACCGGGGATAATTAACCACCCGCGAGGCATCATCCAGATTTCGGGGTTGTTTTTTTGCCGGGTTCTTTTTTTCCCCGCTTCGACGCCGTGAGTCAGCACAAGCTGAGGCGGGAGGAAGAGGAGGAAGAAGAGCGATCCCGCTCGGCTTTACCGGCCAAGACGGAGACATTTTAGGGCACAAGGGACGCAGGCGATGGATTTTTGGGGTGGGAAAAGGCTTTTCCACTTCTCCAGCAGAGCAGGGGAGGAATAATCGGGGGGTCGGGCAGTACATGTGGTAGCCGCGGTCGCAGTCATCGCAGAAGAGGAGCTGGTCCTAAGCAGAGGGGGAGGAAGAGGAGGGAAAAATTTGGTGATTCTACCTGGATTTGGTGCAAGGACAACGAGGAGGGGACCGGAGGGGACGAGGGTCCCTCTCCATCATTCTCCACGCTGTCGGAGCGACCAGGAAGACATCGCCATGTCCTCCGGAGTACCAAAAGCACCATCTGCTGCCCCCCAGAAAAGATTTTTGCAGTGTCCTACAGATAAAAGCCCAAAGATTTCTCCCCAGAAAGGTTCTCCCGTGTCCTACAGACCATTAAAGCTCAAAGATTTCACCCCGGAAAGGTTCTCCTGTGTCCTACAGACCATTAAAGCTCAAAGATTTCACCCCGGAAAGGTTCTCCTGTGTCCTACAGACCATTAAAGCTCAAAGATTTCACCCCGGAACAACTCTCCTGTCACCTACACACTATTAAAACACACACATTTCTCCCCAAAATGACTCTCCCGTGTCCCACAGACTATTTAAGCCCAAAGATCTCTCCCCAAAAACTCTCCTGTGTCCTACAGACTATTAAAACACAAAGATTTCTCCCCAAAAAGACTCTCTTGTGTCCTACAGACTATCAAAACACAAATATTTCTCCCCAAAATGACTCTCCTGTGTCCTACACTACTAAAATCCAAAGTTTTCTCCCGAAAAAGACTCTCCTGTCACCTACACACTATTAAAACACAAATATTTCTCCCCAAAATGACTCTCCTGTGTCCTGTAGACTACCAAAACCCAAAGATTCCACCCCAAAAAGACTCTCTTGTGACCTACACACTACTAAAACCCAAACGTTTCTCCCCAGAAAGGCTCTCCTGTGTCCTACAGACGATTAAAGTCCAAAGATTTCTCCCCAAAAAGACTCTCATGTGTCCTACAATCAAAACCCAAAGATTTCTCCCCAGAATGACTGTCCTGTCACATACACACTACCAAAATCCAAAGATTTCTCCCCAAAATGACTCTCCTGTGTCCTACAGACTATTAAAGCCCAAAGATTTCTCCCCAAAATGACTCTCCCACGTCCTACAGATTATCAAAACCCAAAGGTTTCTCCCAAAAAAACCACTCCCGTGTCCTACAGACTAGTAAAACACAAGGACTTCTCCCCAGAATGACTCTCCTGCCACCTACACACTATTAAAACACACACATTTCTCCCCAAAGTGACTCTCCCGTGTCCTACAGATGATCAAAACCCAAAGATCTCTCCCCAAAAACTGTCCTGTGTCCTACAGACCATTAAAGCCCAAAAATTTCACCCTGAAAAGGCTCTCCTGTGTCCTACAGACTATCAAAACCCAAAGATTTCTCCCCAAAAAGACTCTCCTGTCACCCACACACTATTAAAACACACTAATTTCTCCCCAAAATGACTCTCCCGCATCCTATGGACTATTAAAACCCAAAGACTTCCCCCCAAAAAGAATCTGCTGTGTCCTACACACCACTAAAACCCACAGATTTCTCCCCAGAACGCCTCTCCTGTGATTTTAGGTGGTATTCCCATCATTTTGGCTTAATCCCACCATTCAGGGGGTGGTCCCGTCCTTCTAGGGGTACTCCCTTTATTCTGGGGGTACTCTCATCACTCTGGGGGCTACTCCCAATCCTTCTGAGGGGTACTTTTAAATTCTGGGGGTCCTTTTTCATTCTGAAGGTACTCCCATCATTCTGAGGAGTCCTCCCGTCCTTCTGGGGGTACTCCTGTCATCTTGGGGGGTACTCCCGTCACTCTAGGGGGTATTCCCATCAATCTAGGGGTGCTCTCTTCATTCTAGGGGATACTCCTGTCATTCTAGGGGGTATTCCCATCATTTTGGGGTTAATCTCATCATTCTGGGGGTCCTTTTTTCATTCTGGGGGTCCTTTTTTCATTCTGGGGGTACTCCCGTCATTCCGGGGGTACTCCCGTCATTTTGGCTTAATCCCACCGTTCTGGGGGTACTCCTGTTCTTCCAGGGGGTACTCCCTTTATTCTGGGGGTGCTCTCATCACTCTGGGGGCTACTCCCAGTCCTTCTGAGGGGTATTTTTCAATTCTGGGAGTTCTTTTTTTTTTCTGGGGATCCTTTTTTCGTTCTGGGGGGTACTCCTGTCCTTCTGGGGGTACTCCCATCCTTCTGGGGGGTACTCCCTTCATTCTGGGGGTACTCCCATCCTTCTGGGGGTACTCCCTTCATTCTGGGGGGTACTCTTGTCCTTCTGGGGGTACTCCCGTCGTTCCGGGGGTACTCCCGTCGTTCCAGGGGAACACTCACGTCGTTCTCGGAGGTGCCGCAGATGTTGCAGCACTTGCACTCGATGCACTGCCAGCGGTACGTCTTGACGGCCGCCATCATCACCGGGGTGAACTGCAGGCAGGAGGGGTGCCCTGCGGAGACGGCGGGGACGTGGGTGAGGGCGGCGCGGCAGCCGGCTCCCAGCCCAAACCCTCGGCTCCTCCGGGAAGACGGCCCGGCGACGCCGGCGGGGGGGAGGGAGGGTCCCCCCCTACCTGATCCCCCCC